TCTGTAGTTCTGGCAGTTCCTGCCTTCTGAGCACTCAAGTTTGGAATCTGTATTGCTGTTTGAGTTAATTTGATACTGTTTGGGGAAAAAAAAAAAAAAAAGAAAGAAAGAAAAAAAGAAGACAAGACAAAAGAGGACTTTCATCATGCTGCAGCAGAGTGGCACCCATGAGGGTCATTAACAGGGTCAGAATGTGTTCATCCTCCTGCTGAGACATCCAGAGCTAACAGTCGACGGCAGTGGCAGCAGTGCCTCAGCCTTCATGTCAGCCCTATGCTTACCACCCACGACTATTCCTATTGTTCCTGCTTTTCACCTCAAGCAATGATTTTAAGTGAGGCACCCCCACACATCCCCCGCTAATGCAATAACCCTGTGGCTAGATTTTAATGCATCACCACCAATGAAGGGGAGCCTGTGCTGTCACTGTATGTTAGGAGCATGAACCTCAGCCCAGATAATGAAAAAGGCCCCTTGGGGAACCTGGGCAATGAGGTGGCTCTTACATCTCCCAGGCACAACTCAGCATGGGCACCAGAAGAACTGTAGGCACTAGGGTACATTTCCTGGAGAAAACATAGGTGGAAGAATGGTTTAAATGGGATTTCTGGATAATGGCCTTGCTTACAGGAATTTACATCAGCCTGTACTGTATCAAGCTCAAGGGGCTGTGAGAGGAAAAAACATTAGTATGGCACATTCACATGATGCAGTGAAGCACTGTGCCAAATCACCAGCCTGTAGGAAAATAAGCCAGATTACTACAGTTATGCAAACAAGTCACCATACCTTGGACAATTAAACCTGACCAAAAGGTGGAGCTAGCTAGTTCAAGTAAAGACTCATGCTAAAGGAATTAGCATATTTCCAGGACCTGAATGGTGCTCTGTAGACTTTGGACTACCTTGAGGTTTAAAACATTGCACTAGTGGCTGTTCTATGGAGATGGTTCACAAACAACTCCGGATGCCCAGTAAAGATGTAAAATGTATTTGCATATGTGCTGACGACTGACATCACATACATGGCACATCGAGATTTTTCAAAGGCTTTTCATCTTCAGATAGATTTTATAAAGGATGTGGAAACCACATCATTGTCTCAATAGTGATTCACTGTTAGAACCTGAGTCCTTGTTTCAAAGCATGAAGGTGACAAGTGCAGTTCCTCAGGAATATTCTTTGGTGGACAATAATAAAGGAGAACATTTCCTTCACTCTGCTCTCAGAATGGTTGAAAGATTTTCATGAGAATTTTGTAAAAGAATTCTACGTGCTATTCCACATAGAATATGGCAAACCAAATGGTTGAAATTTGGACAAGTTATATATCTGCTGAAATCTGAGTCTTTCAGTGGCAAGCATCAAGCAACACCAGTAGGTGCTACTTTCTACATTACCTATAGTCATGTGTTTGGTAAAACATTTCAGAAAAGGAGACAAGATTTAAAAATTTCTTAGAAGTGGGCTGCGAAATATTGTAAAAATAAATAAAAATGTAACATCCCTCCTTGTGATCACAGACCGTATTGCAGAATACCAAACACTGCTGAAAAATGGGACCATTTGGAAAGTGATCTGCTTGGTATGTGTGTTCACATATAGAAATAAATTGAAGACAGTGCTACCTATGCAGCAATGACAAGTTAATTCAATTTCTATCTCAAAATCAGGTAAAGTATATCTCATTTGTTACCATGGATACAAGACATTATTTCCATTTGTTTGAGATCTCACAGCGGGTATGAAATTAAACTGTGACACAATTTTATGGAGAAAGTTGACTCAAAACCCCACAAGTTCAATGCCATTAGTCCGAAGGATTTTCTTTTTTAGACATAATAAATGGGGAGGTTGCTACTATTGCCCAAAAGTTATATTTCATAAGCAAACATCAATGTGATTTTGCTGACGGTACTTTGGAGCAATAGCAGTAATAGAAAATAAACATTCATTTCATCAGTCCTGCAAATGTGAGAAAGCATCCTGAAAAATATCCAGATGGTAGAGTTACATTGAGAATACATTGAAGTTGTGCTATTTGCTGTTATTTGGCACCAAATGTTTACCAAAAAAATTCTGAATTCTGAAACTGTATCCATTTTTTCTCAGATAAATCTGCTTTATAGACTGCAGCTCAAATCAATTAATCTCTAGTTCTCAAAGTTAAAAGCAAAAAGGGTATGTAAAAGAGTGGGGAAATAGAGAGGAAAGAGACAGGAGAAATACTTTTTTTTAATGCTGACATATATGTAGGATTCGGGAATTCAGTGGCACTCAGTTTACCTTGCCTGACATTAATTTTAATATATAGAAAAGGATAAAAGAGAATACAGGTCTTCTTGTTAAATTATTACCACTCAAGTTCTGGGTATGTGTTTAATATTTCATTGAGAGACTGATTTCCATAGATGCTGAGCACCTGCTGTACTGATGGATTTCAGCTAAGATTGTCATCCCTCAGCATTTACAAAGCCAAGCTGAGATAAAACAAAGTCTACCTAAATCAAAGGTTTAGTTCTAAATATTCATGGATGAACTGCATGAAAAGCACAGAGGTCGTGAGATGTCATGACTACAGCTAATCATTGAAATCCAAAGCCATCATCCAGCTGCTTAATTGACTGATTATTTCCCACCAAATATTCTGAACTCCACCTCCTGTGCCTCTGTGTTGCTGCCCTCCTCAGCATATTGTCAGACTGGATTATCTGCAATGTCTTCTCCAGCTACTTGGGCCATCTCTAATTATATCCCATTGGGAGTTGGTAGGTTCAACCCCCCCTGGATGGCAAACAAAAAAAATTCAACCTCACAGCAAAACTGTCATGAACATAAAAACACTCAGAGGAACAGTGACTGCAGTGTCCATTGCTCAGTTGAACAGAAAGATAAGTAAGTCACTCTCTGTTATTGGCTTTTGTTATTAACATTTTCTTGAAGTTACAATAGCAATCTATTTATATTCTCCAGTCTTGATTATCCTTCTTTCAGACCCCAGATAGGAAATGATAAAAAATGCAAAATGAGTGTTAGAGCTCCAGTCTTTTGATTTAGTAGTATTTTGTGCTGATTTTTCACTAATTTTAATGGAGAACTAGCAGTAGGCTGAAATTTAGAACAATATTTATATATGCAGTTAAATTTAACAAAGACAGTGATATTTAAGCATCCATTTAGAGAAAGGGAAGATCATGAGCAGACCTTAAGCATACCTAGAGTACACAGAAACCTTAAGTACTTTTGATTAGTGGCTTTATTCCTGAGTACAGGAAAGATTTTATTCCTGAATGATCAATGACTTTTCTGTTTCATTCCAAATTACTCTGCCATATGATAAATCATTCTGATTTGGTAAAACTCTGAGGGCTTAGATGGGGTTTATGTTCATACAAACATGTGTGTAGTACTTAAGCTCATCTTGTGCTCCATTATTTGGTGTTAAGCAGGATTTGTAGACTGGTTGGATTTGATATGTTCTGTGATAGCAATACAATTCTTAATCCAGCCGGGCAGCTCATATGTAAGTTAGTATCTTCTGGCTGTGGAGTTTTGTCATATGAACCAGCTTAGTACAATCTGGAAGTGGGTACAACTTGTCCCCTTTTGGAATCTAATAACCATGAGTGATTGAGGAGGACATGTGTCGCTTCAGGGCATTCATGAACCAGGCCAAATTAACCTCTGCAGTGACATAGCCGAGCAGCTCTATTCTAAATTGTAGCATCACAGCATCACAGATTGGCTTGTGTTGGAAAGGACCTTAAAACTCATCTAATTCAAACACCCTGCTGTGGGCTGGGACATCTTCCACTGGATTAGGTTACTCGAAGCTCCATCCAACCTGGCCTTAAACTCTCCTAGGGTTGAAGAATCCATAGCTTCTCTGGGCATCCTGTTCCAGTGACTTGCCACTCTCATAGTGAAGAATTTCTTCCTTATATCTAATCTAAACCTACTCTCTTTCACTTTAAAACCATTTCTCCTTGTCCTGTTACTATATACATACGTCTTTTGAGCCTCTCTTTAAGTATTGAAAACTACAACAAAGTATTCCCAGAGCTTTTCCTTCTTCAGACTGAACAACCCCAATTCTCTCAGCCTTTCTTCACTGGAGGGGTAAGTATAGTTGGGAACCCAAGCCAGTGTCATGGTGAGCTACTGCCCTCGCTCTCTGTTACGTAGCATCAAAATGTATGTGTCTTTTCAGGAAAGAAGTGATACATGCATGTCGAGCAAAAAGTGCTTATGTATTAATGTACATCTGAGAGAAAGCAGGGGGAACAGGTCTAGACATGGTAGACAAGACCTGACCTGCTCAATATCAGGAGCACACTGTCAAATACAGGATAATGCATATAGAAACCTGAACCTCTTCTAAAGGGACACATGGCAGTTAACGGCTTACTGGTTATCAGCTTTGTTGCTGCACTGAACCGTTTAAAAAATTGCCTGAATGGGAACATTACATTCAAGGATCAGAAAAAATAATAAAATCTTGGAAGATAATACTGGTGTTAATGTCCATTTGCAAATTTGCAGGAGGGCAATCTGGACAAACTGGAGATCCTCAAAGGAGAGTCAGGAGAAGAAAAGACAAAGCTATAAAGTGGAGATGCATCTAAAGATGCAGAACAAATGCAAATGAAGGTACCACTATGCTATGCTGAAAAAAAGCTCCTGTGCAGAATTAAAGCTCATTGGATTAAATGAGAAGAAAAATAGAGGATGTACCAAAGTAATTTGCTCCTAACTACAACATGCATAGGAAGCTTTCTTGAAAATGATCAGTGGGTTTGCCATTTAGGTATTCCTAAAATGACTGTCCCTAAAATTGTCCCCAGACTCTCCTCCCCTTCCCTCCATACCTAAAATCAGCAAGGTTTTGATTTTGAAAAGAAATCAATATAGTAATTTGTGGCTAATAGCCCTGCGTACAGCATAGATCCTCGGTAGCATTTTCCTAAAAGAGAAGACCTGTTTTTTCTTCCATGGCAATACCTGCTGCATGCCTTGCATCGTCTGCTGTAGGAACTGCAGCTGCTGATCCTTTGTAAGGCTTTCTTCTGTTCGAAAGAGCTGTCCTTTCTCTTGCTTCAGAAGCTCCACTTCGTTTCTATAAGCATCCAGTTGCCATCGAAGACTATCATTTTCTTCCTTAAGCGCGTATGCTTGGGCTGCTAGAGCTGAGAGAAAATGAAAATGAGAATAAATCAGTAAGTTGATTGTTTCCTTAGAAATAATGTGGAGAATATTGTTGGGGAAGGTGACAGTAGAGCTGAAAGCTAGTGAGACATTTCAGAGCTGAGGCAAGACCTAGCAGAGATGAAAACGATTAGACTCTGGCAAAGGCTGTCACTGGGAAGTTATTTCATGGGATGGAAGGATCCATAAAGCAACCCTGGATAATTCAAATGCTACTTGCAATCTAGCTGCTAAATTTAGGCTTATATTTGGGGAAGAAACTGGCATCCAAAGGCAAAACACTTCCCAACTTTGCAACATTTGCCCAGTGGTGTTATGGGATCTGGTACAATCATTTAATAATTAGTCTAGTGCAAATCCAATCAGATCTGTGCAAAGGAACTTAGACTACGTCAGGTTGTCTGGATTTAATCCCATAGGAGAAGAAACATGGAAATTCCTCTCCAATCTCCCTATGAACTGCTTCATAGCAATGGTTATGAGAATCCATTTAGACAAAAAAAAAGATGATACAGAGCAAAATTATATAAAATGCAAATGCTTTGAAAAAGTGTTGACACTACAAGAACATTACTACATTAAAGGCATTGAAAGACACTTAAGTCATTTCCTTAGGAAGCTCCATTTGGCCCCTTTTCAATTTAGAATGGCATTTTTATTATCATAACTGATAGCAGGTGTTTGTGAAGAAATCGATTAGTATGCAGGGATGGAAATTACATTTGCCAAATGACTTGCACTGTCTGCAATATAAGCTAAAATTTGTGTTGCAAAAGGCAGAGGGCTATAAAGCATGTAGCAGGAACATTATTTAAATAAATTATCTAAACGTAAATACATATAGGGAAGTATGGCATTCATTGCTTTAGGGATGCCATTTTCATCCTATAGGAGAACTCAACCCTGGTAGCATTTACATATTGGCAGTGTGAGTGGCCATTTGGCATATCAGACCATCATACCACACTATTTTCCTTCTTGGAACCTTGGAACACAGCAACATTACAGGGCAGCTGTAATTAAAAAACAACAATCTACCATAGCCAATTCTATCAACATTTGGTAACTGAAGCACATAACTGATTTACATTCCTGATTAAATGATTTCAGGCTTGATAGTACAGAATTCTTTCTTGCCCACCTACAATAGCAATATGGTTAAACTCCAAATTATCAGAAATAGTATTGACTCCATTTAATGTTAGGCCTCACTTGACTAGAGCAGCATTTAGATGTCACAGTGTTTCATTATCAGTAGAAATGTTCTATCTTTGGTAGGATAAATGTATCTTTTTCTGAGATAATTTTTACTAATTTTAAAGTAATACAAATGCTTTATCCAAAATAAAGTAGAATTAGCCTTTATTAAAATATAGGCGTGGACTGGTTATTGCACTTAATTTGGATATTCTACGGAGTATCTCTGGAAGATTTAGTAAGAGTTACAGTATTGTTACATCAAATTAAATTGTTCTGAAAAGCATGTAATCATCCTTCTGTGACAAAATATACCCTCAAGAAATTACAATGATGAGTCCAATGGGCAAATAAGAGGATGAAATCTTTTTTTTTTTTTTTTTTTTATGAGAGCCAACAAGGTACGCCTAAAATAGAGTCTGAGCAAATAAAAACCTCAGTCGAACAAAAACATATATCAGAAGCTTATATTAAAATTTTATTCTTTGATTTATGTAATGGATTTGAACTAAATTACTTGAAAATACAGCTCGTCTTTGCAGTGTCCAGAGGAAAGTAATTAAATAAAATGGCAGCCATTTGTATTGTCTTCCTCCCACCAATTGGACTGTCCCCAGTCAAAGAACTGCATTTTTTACAATACTCAGTTCCAGCCAGAAACCCAGATTTAGTTGAGCTTTAGGCTGCTTTAACTGGAGAAGCTGCTGTGGTGCATTTTCTTGGCCTCATCATGGCCCAGATGGAGAACATATTTTTTCCCACATAGGTAAATTCAGGCTATTGAGTGGGGCTGAGGACGGCACTTCTGTCTTCTACAGATGCATGAAAGTAGGGAAAAAGCAAAAGTCTTCTACAGATTGTGAAAATCACCTATAGGTGATGAACTTGTTAGGATTTAAAAAATCACTCTTCCAAATTGCACTCTATATGAGCTTCAGAAGCAAAAGCTTGTTTTTCCTTTAGAAAAGCAAAACAGCTTTTTTTGCTGCTAAAAATTCAGTTGCACCAACAAATGTCATTATTTTATTATTTTAAAATTATTTTAGAATGCCATATTAAGATCTGTATTAATAATTGGATTACTGTACTACCAAGAAGTCCTACGCAAGGATGGTGCCCCATCAACCTATATTCCAGATCCTAGAAGAATAAAGGCTGTGTTTGGAAGAGGTAACAGCATATGTTAGCATATCTCAAACAACCTGAAATGTGTGAAGAAGAATATAGCAGAGATGAGTTTGTGATATTAGGCAGAATTCCTAGATGCATCCAAAATCTTATCAAAATTATTATACAATCTGGTGCTCTTCTTAGCCATTCACAGTAAGCAGCTAAAGAAAGAATCCAAGGTAGAAGTCCTTAAATAAGGAGGATGCAACCCATACAGTAGCACTATAATAGAATTCTACACTGTCACAAGCTTTCAGATGAATTATTTTTAGATTAAACCATTAACTATATGGTGTTCATACACAGAGTTCTTTTGTTATTTAATTTTAAGCTACAAAAAGCTCTGTTCCTAATGTGAATAAAGCGGTTAGTAAAAAAGTCATCAAATAGAGCATAAGTCAAAGAAAGACATCTGGTAGACGCCAGGGGCTCCATCTCATTCAGCACTGCGTAACTCTGAAACAAAATCAAAAAGATTCTTTTTGTTTGCACATCATAACCGTAATTTTAAGTTATTTATATTTTAGTGAATTAAAATCATTCTGGATTCAATGCAGTTATCCCAAATAGAGCAGTTTGCTTACATTTTATGCATACTGAAGAACACCTTATTGAATACTAAACTACAATTTTATGAAGAATTTTTGGAGATAATGGAATCTGCATTTTAAAAAGTAAATATTTTTCTCATTTGTGCAGAATTATTTTTTCTATAATTGCATTGATACAGCCAAGGGGTGTATTTTTTGCTTAAGAGGTTTACTTAGCTCATCCCACTGCAACTTCTGATTCCATTTTAAGTTTGGTAGTTCTGATACTCATCTACAGAACCCCTCACTGAGACACACTAGAAAGCTTCTTAGGATAAAAGACAATTAAAGTGAAAGTTTGTACAGAAGCACGATATAGAAGGAAGCTAGATCAAAAGAAAACTCTGACAAGAATCCCAAATAACTGCCTGTAATGCAAGCAGAAGAGAATATTTGTACCTGAACAGACACAGCTGGCAACCAGCCCAACATACGCTTTATAGCATTTTCATGGGGGGACACAAACGGATACCTGTCAGTCTCAGAGAATCAGCTAGGGGAAGATCAGACGTATGTAAGTGGGGAAGCCTTCTCTTCAATATCTTGAAGACATCTAAGAGGTCAGTGTGATTTGCTTGTTCTGAGGCAGCAGTGCCACAGCAACAGCGTTATGGCCAAACTGGTTACATGCAGTGGATCCAGATTAGACCCAAAACAAACAAACAAAAATTCTGGATTAAAAAAAAAAACAAAAAAAACCAGTGACTGAAATACAGAAATACTCTGAAGTCTCAAGATGTATTAAAAATGTCTCAAACTGATATCTCAGAAAAAAAAAATTACTTTTCTAGGTCATCTATTTCAGACGCTGTTAGGTATGTGCTTTTTTTTTTTTTATCAGCAGCACCAACTTGTGCCATTTACTTTCATCTAGTTTTCTGTGGTTATATCTAACCTCATGCATAATAGCTGCCCATGGAAGATGAGGTAGAGTAAGTCTACACAGTGAAAATAATTGTAATTACAAATAATCGTAGTATTTTATAACTCACATAGTGGCCAGGAAATAAACTGAACATCCCAAGCCTCTGTTTTTATATGTTTATAGTTATTGCAGAACTTGGGGATAATTAATACGTTCCTAGCAATTTTATTAACACATACCTGGGCATTAATAACATTTATAACACTACGTTTAATATTAATGACAGACTACTAATTCACATATGGAAAACACTCCTGGTTGAAATTCATAGGCAGTAGCTTATCTTCAGGATCTGTAGCAGTCTGGAATTAATATCTGAAAAATAAATGACCAAGCAATGGCAACAACAGAAAAGTAACTTGTAAATTCAAGAGCATATACTTCCCCATGATCTGCTAGCAGAAGTTTTCCTACACATATTTTTTCTTTCTTATAGGTACTTCTAAAGAAATGGATTATAAAACTGACAACTTTTTATTTATTTAAGACTTTTAGTCTAACCTCTTTAGCAGAAATTCTCAGGGTTTTGGAACTTTTGCCAGTGTACCAAAACAGTGTCATGAAAACAGATGAAGAGCATATACCCAAGCTTTCCTTCCACCTGAGTTCTACTAATACCATGATCCTAATTTCCTGATATGAAAATGGGGTTTAAAATGATATGATGCTCCTTTTGATAACATCAACAAGAATAACATCAAGAACTGTCAAAATGATGGCTGTTGTTATGGTAATTTTTTTGGCTGCATCAATTCCATTGCAGAGCATTTGCTGTGTCTAAAAAAAAAAACAAACCAAAACAACAACAACAAAAAACCCAGAACAAACAAACCAAAAAACACAACATAAAAAAAAAAAAACAACTTGTCAGAAACTGCTACTACTCTACTACTTCAAAGAATTTTCAGTTTGAAGGACTAAACAAGTACAAGAGGAGAGAAATAAGGACATGGAGTTCACAACCATAAATACAAACAATAGAAGTTATCCTTGGCTTCTATCTAGCTTGCTTGTTTTTCAAACAAGTGAACTGTGAAGCATCATAACTAGGGGAAAGTCAGCAAGGGAAAATGATTTTGGAGGATCTGGAAGGTCATGA